CCGCCGCCGCCTCTGCTCCCCGCGCGCCCGCAGCCGCGCTCGCTCTCTCGGGCCGGGGAACTGCCGGCGGCCGCCGCGCGCTTCTTACTTATAACTTCTCGGCTCCCGCGCCCTCCCCGACTCCTCCCGGCCGAGCGCCCCAGCCAGCCGCCTGGCCCCGCCCATCCCTTTCTTCTCCCCCTCCCTCCCTGCCCCCCCTCCTGTTGCCATGGCAGCTAAATAAACAAACTTCGTGCGCACGTGGGGGCGGGGGGAAGGAGGGGCGCTGGCGGGGCGGGCCAGGCCGTGACGCCAGCCGGGCAGCTGGCGCGCTGGAGCCACGCTGACGCCGGTGGCGGCAGCAGTGGCCGACCCGGCTCTGGGCGTGGGCTCTGGGGTGCAGGCCCAATCGTCTCCTCGCGATCGGGGCCATCCAAGCCTCCCAGACCGGCTCCCTGGATCCGAGCGCTCAGGCCAACAGCGAGGGAGGCTTGGGGTGGGTTGTGACGATTCCAGGCCCAGCTCCCGCACGAGCCGCCCGTGTCTGCGCCCCAGAGAGGCGCGATTGGTGGCGTGACTCATCGGGCCCTCCCGCCCTCTCACACGCACGCACACGGGAGCCGGCCTCCAGCCCAGGAGCGCTGGTCCGGGCGGGCGCTCGGCCCAGCCTCGGCGGGTCGCGGGATCTTCAGCCCGTAGGGACTAGAAGAGGGAGAGTCTGGCTGTCACCAGGACCGGAGGAGGCCGAAGGAGCCTTCCGCGCCGGAAAAGGCGAACGAGGCCAGAGTGGGATCAGTCGGTTGACTGATGGTGGGCAGAGCAAGGAGAGGGGTGCAAAGCTCTGGATTGTTACTTGGGGTGGGGGTGGGTGGGGGAGAAGAGGGCCTGGGAGGCTCGGAGAGACCTTTCAACCAAGGATCTCAAAGCACTTTACAAGCCAAGCATTCTCCTCTCCACTTTATGGATGAAAAACCTGAGTCATAAAGGGGAGAAATGGTGAAGTAAAGGTCAAACGACAACGCATACCATTCGGCTCAGGCTCCAGGCAGGTCAGTCCCAAGTGGCCCGGTGCCTGGAGGGTGCCTGGAAGTTAAGTGAGGTGGTGGGCGCCGGATTCCCGAAAAGTGCACCCTAAGCTCCCAGCAGCCAACCTTGATGCAGATGGCCGGTGGGGTGGGGAGGAAACGGGAGGTCGTTATTTCAGTGTTACAACACTGCTACCACCACCCCCCCCCACCCCACCCCCTGTTCTCAGCTTCTAATCAGTAATTTTCCAAGAGGAAAATGTTTTTACTCTCTACTCTGCAAATAGTACTTTTGTGTCTCCCTCTTTTTGATGCGAAATGCGGTGTGGGGGCATTGCTGGCTAGAAGTAGGCTTGCGAAATGTGTGTGCAGAGGCTCGGGCCTCACCACCGCAGCCCTTCACCAATCACTTGCCACCCTCCACGGAGGGTCAGTCAAGGAGACAGACGGAAGGGACACTGGAAAAGGGTCTGAGCTCGAGGCCCACACTCGTCACCGAGGTCTCCTTGCCTCGTACTTTGGGTCGGTGTCACCTGTTGAAGTCCTGCGATTCTGGTACCTATTAGGTTTCCTTGTGATATTTATTACCCCTGATGTTCCACGCCTCGCTGACCACAGAAGCATTCTTGGAATGCATCTCGCCCCGAATGAATCGACTCAGCCGGCTTTGCCAACACCAAGAATCCTTCTAGGTCCAGGGAGTTGGAAGGCTTTAAGGATGGAGCCTGCAGCTGGGGGGAGGGGTGTGCTCTGGCTGGGAGACCGGGGGCCACTCTCCCACAGCGTCTGGGGGTCCACCCCACCCGACAGGACTAGGCTTTGGAAATGTGGCCCTTTTAAAGAGAACCGAAAAGGACAGAGACCTGCTGGTCCTCCCACTGAACACCCTTCTGTCACTGTGATGTACAGTAAAGGAAACTTCTTAGGGTGCTAGGACTTGAGGTGTGCGTGGACAATTTGTCCACTTCTCTATCAAGGCCAAGATCCCTAAACCCCAATGAACTTGGATGAGCCCTTGATGAGCAGTCGTCCCTCTCCAGATGTAAACATGTAAGTCAAGACATGAAATTTCCAACCTAGACAGCCAGCACACCAGTTTTTTCCTGTTTGCGTTTATTTATTGCGGCAGTAACCAATGGGCATTTCCTCCCATCCCCCCATCCCCCCCAAAGAACAACCATCACAATGAAGAAGAAAAAATACCAATATTACACAGATGAGTTGGAAAGCCACAATTATATAATCAAGGCAAGATTCTAAAACTCAATTTGAAAAGAGGAACTTGTATTTTCCCAACAGCCAGCCGCCTTCTGGAGAACAGAAGCCAGTGCCTCTGCTTGGCAGGCTGCGATCTGGGTCTTGCTCTGTTTGCATCACAAAGGGGCATCTGTGTATTGGAATCACATTTCTGAAAGGGAAGGAACTGCAAGTTCACAAATCATCTTTCAGGGCAGGTCTCCAGTGTGACAACAGGGTTATGACCCTCCCTTTCTGTGGCCTTCAGAGCAGGTAGGTCCAGAAGAGTTAAATCCCTGCCCTATATAATTTATAAACATGAGGCTGAGTAAACCTTTGATGACTAAATTGCACTCTAAAATAATAATAATAATAGAAGACACCCTTTAAAGAAGAATTAAATACTTACTGGTGACTTTATTTCAGCAAACTGATATTACAAGTTTTGTGGTAGGGAAGTTAATTATTAATGTTGTTGGAGCTATAGGGTTTTTTTTGTTTTTTCAGTGCAAACTGCATTAGTTGGCAAAAGATGTGATGGAAACCATTGTTGCTAAGGAATTAGCAGGGAGCTGCAGAGAGGAGCTATAGATTGAAGAGGCTGCTTAAAAGTTTCAGGTGGAGGGAGTCTGCCTAGAAAGATGGGGGTAAGAATCTGGGTGTCCCAGAGGCCTGGGCTATGTGTGGTAAACTGCCACAGACCTTAGCCAAGGCTGCTTTTGAAGAAGAGAGCAGGGGATGGTTCAGTGGTTCACTAAGTGCCTTCCTAATGAATCCCTATTAATAACTGTGAGAGAGGCATGTAACTTTTATAAGATGGCAAAACCCTCTGCTCTGGTTTTGTCAGCTCCCATCTCTTTATAAACCTGTCTTGTACACACACACACACACACACACTGCCATGCAGTCAGTGCTGACTCAGAGAGGTGAAGAAAGTGGGCTTTGGTGCTAGGTTGCCTGGTTTGTAATCAGACTCTCTTGCTTTCAAGCCAGGCAAGTCACTTGATTTCACTTTACTGGTTTCCTGTTCTATAAAAAGGGGTTAATAATAGTACCTACCTCTTGGAATAGAGAAGTAAATGGGATCGTTGGTAGTTGCTAATATCACAAGTCTCCTCCAGGAATGAGGCGGGGGACCTTGTTGGGTTCACTGATGTATCCCCAGGTCCTGGCACCTGGCAGTCCTCCCTAGGTTGGTTGTTGAAGGACTTTAATAACATGCTTTTCCTTTCTTGCACTGTCCACTAGCAGGAAGTTCAGCACCCAGCCCTCACCAGAAGGGTCATACATACCGTAGCAGGACTCCAAACTGAACACCTTCTCTATCTACCCTTTCTCCCCCATCCGCCTAGCTTTGTCTCTGTTAGATTCCCCTCCCTGTAGCCACTCTCTCCCGACCCTGGACATCTCGATGTCCACAGACTTCAGCCATGTCCGTTACTCAATAAAGGTCCCTCCCATCGTTTCCTGCTGCCTTGGGGTGCTGCCTTGGTTCCAGTCCTCCTCCTGGCTAGCTTTCGGTGATTGCTGCAGCCTCCACCCCAGCTGCCCTTCCCCACCCTGCTGGCCCCAATGGAATCTCCCTGCTGGCCTTAAATGCACGAGCCCTGGCGGTTAACCGTGTGTTAGGCTGCGATCAGAAAATGTATTGTTTGAAACCACCAGCTGCCCCTCAATGGCCCCTTTCTGTTCCCGTCAACAGTTACAGTCTCAGAAAGTCACCGGGCAGTTCTAACCTGCCCAATAGGGTCGCCGGGAGTTGGCATCCACTCGAGGGCTGAGAGTTTGAATTCATTTCACTCTGCTTCTGCTCACCCCTCCACCTGCCGGTCTTTCAGCGGTTCCCCTTTGTGCCACGAAGCAAGCCCAGACGCCTTAGCCTGATGTCCCCCATTCTTCCTCGTCTGGCCCCAGATAAACGTTCTAGAATCCTCTCTAGAGACAGACTCCACTGCCCTAAACTGCTAACTGGATGATCTCTTCATTCCTCAGTGCTTGAATTTTCATCAGCTGTCTTCCCTGTCTGGCGTGCCGTCCTCAGGGCCATCCTCAAACTCAAGTGTCAAAGCCCTCCTTGATCGTCCCTGGTATGTGTGGCTTCCTTTGCATGAACTCTCTCCTGGTTAATTAAGCTATGTAACGACTCAGCTATGTGCCCGACCTATGGGGCGGTCATTATCTTGTCACTAGTTTTCTGGCTCCGGTTCCAAGGTGCTATCTCTAGGACAGAGGCCCAGCGACTGTTTGTTGTGGAATGAACGAGGTGGGCATATCTGTGTGGATAAAGCGATTCTTCCAGTGAATTCTGGGGCTACCTTTTCAATGGCCCTCCCCGGTGGTGAGGTCCCCGCCTCACCCCCCTTCCCTTTTCTTCAGTCACGTTCTTGTCTCCTTTCTCTGAGGAGTTCTGTGTGAAGGAGACAGAAAATAAAGTCCTTCTCAACGCTGTCGTCTCTGAAGAGTCGGACGGCATAAGCGATCCACCCGGCCACAGCGATGTCATGAAACAAACTAGAAACAAAAAGCAGCCAGAGCCAAACCCAAGCCAAATGGACACAGCCGACTCTTGTCTGCAGCCAATTGCATTGCTTTCCAAAACCCAAACGTAGGGGGAGCATTGAAGTTTTTAGAGCAGAAAATCAATCACAGACATTTAAAAATCAATTCTTAGAAATTTAATTAAAAGTCTTTCTCGTGAACTCTTAGGTTTGATCACTTAAGCTACATTTCAAAGCTCCTCCCACCCCACCCAAACAACAACAAAAACCTTAGGCCCCTTATAGTCTTTGAACTATTTTTAAAAAAAAGAAAATCTAAGCTTAATGAGATTATCTTAAAGGCCTGTGAATGGTTTTGACATCATTGTTAAATCCCAATTCTCAATTGTCTTCAGCTTGTTCTGAGAATTTTAAGAAGATACAACAACTTTGTTTGGGTTGCTTATTTGGAAAAGATGGTTTGAATAGAAGGCACTGTCTTTAAGAGTGAGATACACAACATTACTATTTATCTAAACAACAGCAGCAGCAACAACTACCTGGGTTAGCATTTGCTACCCTTATCCAGCGTGACTGCCGAAGGTCGGGAGAAGAAATCTTCCGACTATACATCTGAAGGCAAATACAACACTGAGAATGATATGAAGACGCAAAGAAGGCCAGTCAGCAGAGAA